CACTGCTAAATTAGGGACGGCTAGCGCAGATAGCCCTCGTGTAGCTTTGCGCGATATTCTAAAAACAAACAAACAATATTTCAATACTGCAGCTATGGAATACAAATTTAGCCATGTACAGAATACAACTTAGGTGCACAAGAAAAGAGCACCGTGTTGTAATTTTACAGCAACAACGAACAATGAAAATATATGGATGGAGATTCCGTGTTTAGGAGAGGAAGGATAAAATACAGCAATTGTTCATGGGAGTAAAATGTTAACAAGTCGAAATAAGAGTATGAAAAATAATTACGTTGCAGTTGGTTTCCTTTTTTCAATTTTTTTGTGAAGAGAAAAATAATATTCTTGGTGTAAGTACTAATCTAAGTACAGAATAACAATAGTAATTTCAATACACAAAATAATAAAACGTCAAAGATAAAATAACTCTAGAAAATAACTTTTTATATGAGAAAAAATAGTGAACTGAATTATTTTAACAGAGCGCAGAATTTAAATAGAAATAATGAAAAACATATAATAAAAATTACCAGAAGTAGTAAACGCAAGTATTAAAAAACAGTATCAGGGACAGTTTGTAACATACAGAGAGTTGAGTACGTTATATTAAAACGATTTTGAAGATGCAAATTAGCAAGTCTCTTAACAACAACAACCGATATCAAATCGCGCAGGAAAGGCATGTAGCAAAACTATATGGCGTTTTTGTATGTAATGTGATGTCACCGAAAATTGACTGCATTTGGTAAGGGTATGTAACAGGTTAACAGCCCTTTCGGACGTAAAATATTCATACATTAAGATAAAAAAAATAAAATGTGCTTCGATCAGGGGTGTAGAATCTTCCAGATGGAAGTATCCCTTTTATTTAGTGACATTGGAAAACAAAGGAATATGGATGAACTTGGAGTGCCAGGCCCATCCTAAAAGAGACTTGCAACAAGTTGTATCTCAGCCGTGGTAAGCCAACAACGGCGTCTTGTAACACAAGGGAATCTACTGGCAACGGTACGCAAAATAATCCGTCTGGAAAAGCGACACTAGTCTCGTGTGAACGTGTATGAACGATTCATAGTTGGGAGAAAATGACAGTTCGCGTATGTGTACCTTGATAACTTTAACAAGTCTTATGCCATTTTACATTGGTCAATGAATGGAACAAATTTTCAAAAGTGTTTCACGACATGTCGCGAAAATATCTCGAACGCTGGAATAAAAAGAGCAGGCTAGGAATTAGGAGTGCGGATACAAAGGTCAAGGTGAGCTCTGCCTACTACAGACCAGTGTTCAGGATCCTTTGTACCATACAAAATTACTGGTATGTACGAAAACGAGGCCAACAAAGAACTGGTTCACCAAGATAAGGCTTCTAGTCACATCTCATATTCAATCGTTGCGTTCTCATGCATTTGGAGAATGAAACAAGTGTTCATACAAAGGCATACCAGGAAGTTGCTGGACGTTACACCTATGAATTTGTATGAAGTCGGACTGTTGAAACAGGCACTAGTAAATAGTGCTCCCCGTACACTATAAAGATTAAGGAATATATATCAGGAAGAACTGGTGGACTTTGAGCATGACAGCCTTACAACGGAGGCTTTTGCAATAGAAACAACGTTGCAGGGCTACTATCATGATACACGGTCGTCAGATAGAACATGATCAGACGAGGCAACATGGACTATAACGAAGTGGTGATGCTCCAAAATCCTTTTAATATGACGTACCTAACATTCTGTAATAGGAAAGCCCATCCCTTTTATTACTGTTGTCTTCCAGTGGTAAATTAGCTCACATACAATGTTGTACGAAACACGTATAACTGGCTGGTTGAATTCTTGCTGAAAATTATTCAGAGTGCTACTAAGCCTGTCAAGATAAAAAAAAATCTTTTATTTGTTTGTTTGTTGTAAAATGTTTGTAGAAAGCTACACGAGAACTATCTGTCCTTAATGTTGAACTGACGGCTAGAGTCAGGCAGTCAACAGCACCTACCGATAACTCTTATCTTACCGAATAGTGGGATTTGAGCGTCACACTTATAGCATATCACCGTCCCAAAGCGTAGAATAAGATTTCATGGATTCATCGTTCGAGTACAGTAATCAGTGGGCCACGCTCGGCCAAAAAAAAAAGGATTTTTAATTATAAAATCTTTTAAGTCGGGTCTGCTCAATTATCGTTATAGTTTTAATATTGGAATTAACAAGTCACTGAAAAATGTTTCTGTTAGAACATTGTTTGATGCCTGATATGTTTCTTTTTTTTTAGTGAAGGCAATGTTTACAAGAATTAAAAGCTAATCTTTAGTCGAGTGAAGTTTTTAGATGTACTATGATATATACTAAAGCATTATATTAGTTGTAACAGTTTATTTGTACTGATAAATTTGAAGAAAGGCAGCTAGACATCGGAATCCACCGCCAAATCTTGGGCTAATTTTATCTAACCAAATACTGAGATTTGGTTATTACTTCAGTAGTACATTCACCGTCCTAATGTGCAGAGCGCGTTATTCAGGCTACATGTAGCAAAACACGAACCCTCAAATTAACATTCCTGGCATGATCTGACTCCACCTGTTTGAACAGATATTATCAAATCCTCTCTGTATAAACAAATTATAAACTGTACCATTTGGTTTAAAATAGTTTTAGTTTATAAATTCTCTAATTAATAGAAAAAGACTAAAAGAAATTCGGTGAATAAGAATCATAAGAATCACAACAGAATGCAATATATATATATAAATACCAAGTATATTTGTTTGTAGTTAAGCACAAAGCTACACAATGGGCTACTTGTGCTGTGCCCGCCACGGGTATCGAAACCCTGTTGTAGCGTTATAAGCCTTCAGACTTACACCTGTGCTACAGCGAAGTATGACTTAACTATATGTTTTATGAACCAAAACATAATATAAAAGTTGAGCGATAAAATATATAGTATTAAGAAAAGGGAGAATATTAAGTAGAAGGAGAAATAACGAAAAAGACATACCGTTCAGGCAAGGCATCTTGAGAGGTCCTGAGGTTGACAGCAGACACTTGATTTAGAGAAGAAAATGGACAAGTTTTTAATAAATATGGAGTATTAATAATTAAATTTAATAGCTGAATATCAGATAACTAGGTTTAATTAGTTATTATTTTCTTAAAAAATACTTTTTTCTCAACTTGAATAAGTGCTAAGTGGAAGCCAGCTTTATATCTCTATTGGTTGTGAATTAACTATAATGATATTTTGTGCAATAATTACAAAAATAATTTGTTTTCTCCGTTAATATTAAGCATAATTTTCTGTTTTTTGAATTTACAGAATGAACTGTTAATCCAAACAACATACAGAGGGTTACATTACTTATGTAATTGTTTCTTTTTTAAAAACATAATTATCATTATAGGTTTGGGTTATATATGTTTAAATATATGTTTAAATTTACAGAATGAACTGTTAATCCAAACAACATACAGAGGGTTACATTACTTATGTAATTGTTTCTTTTTAAAAACATAATTATCATTATAGGTTTGGGTTATATATGTTTAAATAAAAATAACAACAATAAAAGAGCTAAAATATTCAGAATATATCACATGTTCTTTTTTAATTTACTTAACAATCCCAAGTTATATTGTGTTAAATCAATTATGTTAAATACAATATAAAACAAGTGCTCCAGTGTATATGTGCAAAAGTATGTTGCCAATATAAATATGTATTTTATGGAAATGTTTGGAGGCTTTTTGCAAAACTATAGTCATTATAAAAACAAAGGCTACAATCTAGTGGTACTGGTAAGAACCTTAGATTTTGATTCTGTGACAACCTACGTATTATTGGACAGTCAAGCATGCTTATTAATAGAAAGAACAGATGACGAGAAAAATATTTAAATTAGAAGAAGTTCTGCGAGAAGCTAAAAGATCTTGAATTTCAACTAGTCAACAGTCAGACTCACCAGTCAGTGAGTATGCCACTAACACCATACAAGCTCAATTTAAAACAAGACATCGAAGCGTGAAATATAATCATATATAACGTATTAAATGCTATGAAGGGTGATCAAATGTAATTTTATACAAGCTACAAGCGTTACTAAAATCAAGCATAACTAAACATAAGCCTACTTAAACAACATATTACAGAGGTACCAAGCTGAGCCAAATATGATTTACCACACGAGTGCAAAAGGTCACCATATATATATATTAAAACACCAGCATCAAGCCAAATCAAGTATACCTTACTAAATGGACGCTAAGCTTAATTGAATATAACCTATAATATGATCAACCCAGTTAATCAAAAATAACTTAATACGGAAGCATCCAAACACATGAGCATAGTTAATTTATACGAGTAAGAAAGTTAACCAAATTATTTACTTCACAAGTGCCAAGCCTAACCAAAAATATATCTTAATACAGAAACACCATAATAAATAAATGTATCATAAAAGTACAAATACTAATAAATAAATAAATGTATCACAAAAGTACAAATAATAATAAATAAATATATAATAAAAGTACAAATATAACCTAAAGAATATAATCTAACTCAAATGCAAGGTGTACCAAGACACCATTTATTACTTGAATGTCAAAGGCAGACAAATGCAGTTTATTACATAACCTGTAAGATTAGATGACTGATAAGTTCAGACAGACAAAATGTAATAGGCAATTATGATGAAAATTAATATAACTAACTTACTACCAAAGTTCCAAAGATATCCACTGTTCTTCTGAGATATTTTGGAGTCATTGGTATTTAACCATTGTACTTGAGGAAAACAATAGAGACAAAATGGTTTGAACAAGCTCCTCAGGTCTTGTCTGTGTGGTCTTCTTGATAGAACATAGATCACTGGATCGAGAATAAAGTTCAGAGCCATGCAGATATCGGCTATTCGGTAAAATATCCTGTGTTTCCGATGAGGATCCCACTGGGCTATTACGATTGTCATCTGCAGATTGGAAGATTTATCCATATAATTACGACTTTTATAAAATTACCAAGCAGTGAATAATCATATATTAATATATATATATATATATATATATATACTGTGAATAGTTTTACTAGTTTTTATAGAAGCAACCCATGCCGTCAGGTTAATTTGTTGTGTTTTAACGTGTTTTTTGCACTGTTATATTAAAATTGGACTAAACTTTCATGTTAAGAATTATTTGAATTTTCGTCGGCTAATCAAGTACAATACATAAATTTCCTAAGCCGATACTGTTTGATGCCTGTTTATCCTATTGTCTATCATCTTTAGAAAAAAAGTCGTTTCAACCAGAGCAGCAGAACTTGATTAAAGGAAGCGATTACCGTATTTACCTGTGTATAAGACGATACTATTTACTCTTAAAACAATGCCTGATTTTACACCTCGTCTTATACACGGGTTCAAAGATAAAGTTCCAGTAGGAACTTATTGGTTAATAACATATTTAACCAAAACTATGTTGTTCATTTTACTTTGGTTTGCTTTTTTTGAGTAAGTGGGTTGACATAGTACCACCTACTGCGTTACAATGACGCATTTTTAATTGTATCATTTGTCTTGATTCTTCAGAACTAAAAGTTATTTATCTTATGTGCTAGTTACAATTAATCAAGACATTTTTGATTTAAAATGCATTGATCTCATTCGTCATACTAGAAATTGCTAGTTTCTGTAACGTACACTAATTTTGTGAACATGTTTTTATAGTAGATCACTAAAGAATAGTGTTTTTGTAATAGAAAAGGAGTTTAACCGTGATTAAAACTTTGTAAAGTTGTTTGTTATATGTTTGTGACTTAAATTATGCCGCAATGAGCTGTTTGTAGCTTTTGAAGAGCATAAAAAACACACTCTCGGTTGTATTGATTACTCCAGAGCACAGGTTAATACAGCTTCAAAATAACTTTTAAGAATTTCGTTACAAAAGTAACATCCTAGACTTGCTTGACAATAGAGGTCGTCCTATACACCGAACCTCAAAGAAATACATTTAATTTGCTCAAAAAATCCAGGGTCGGTACGGTAAAAGTAGTTAATCGATTCAAAACGATGCAAAGTGTTAAACTGTTAATCTCATCATCATTACAATATAATCAATTTACTCTTGGAAGCTCAGTATCATGTTCCTTTATCAGTCTTTAATGTCTTAAAGGTTTTGTTTTACAACAAAAGTAATTTTAAGTCATAGAAGTCTCTAAAACTGATATTAAGTTTAAGCTTAATAAGAATTTATGTTCAACTGAATGGTATCTTGCTGGCAACCTCTCACTGGTGAACCTACTAAGTAAATCCTATTGTCTATAGATATTTTATTCAATATAAAAAGTTCCAAAGGAAATTCTGTTAGTTTTCTAGTTACTGGCGCCACTGAACCCAAACTGAGCAAAAACTGAAACAGACAGATGGATAAATTCAGATATAAAATCCTTAGATGCTCACTGACCACTAGAGTTAAAACCATTCTCAACCAGAACACCGAATAAAAAAGATAACATAAGTGACTTATCATCTTAAAACATTAATAATGGCGAAAATTGCAAAACTTTCTTTGGTTGTGTTAGTGTGAAATTACATAACTGACTATCTGTACTGTGTCTACGGTAAAGACCAAACCCCGAATTATAACGCTAAATGCCTTGAAGGCTTTCATTAACCAATTTATTAAAGTACCCTTTTTTATAAAGAAATCATAACTGATGCTTCACATATGGAGAATCTCTTTGCAATCTGTCCAGTTTTGCGTGTATGTTTATTTATTCTTATATTTCATGGATTATAATATATAAAAAATATTTAAAAAGAAACTTTTGTCTTTCAACATGCAAGAAAAAACAGTTTAAAATAGACTTTTCTCATTCAACATGCAAGAAAGCAGAAAAAAACCATTTATTATTATTGCATAAAAAGAAGATTTTTAAATTTATGTTTTAAGCACATTATCATTATTATTTTATTTCACCATTTTATAAACACTTTTAGACGATCATAAAATGCTAACATGAATAAATATTTCAGCCTATATAATAAGATACAGTTGGAGAATAGCCAAAACTGGTTGACCGTACTTATTGGGTAGAAACTTGTAACAATATAAGGGAAAATGAACATGAAAAAGGTTTATATATTCCCCTGGTGAAGATAGTGCCTTAATGTACCATCACTGGCTCTACTTGTTGCTATATATTCGACGTTTCCATCCAAAGAGCTTATCTAATCTTAGTCGCAGATTTCAAGTATGAGTCGTCAATCATCCAGCTCACTCTATAACACAGATGAAAATTCTTCACAACGGTGTCACCCGAGTGATCAAGGCCGTTTAACGTTTCTGTTGCGCATAAATCTTGTCTCTAGTTTGATGTCTCTTTAGTTGTTAACTGAGCTTACTTGACGTTTTTATAGCCAAGATTTCTCCAACAGAAACTTAGTCTCAGATGTTTGACATTTTATATATAGTAACAAATTGCATACGTTATTGGAATTAATACTTCGCTGGCTCTTAATACATTTCTCGTAGTTTTTAGTTGACTAGCACCTTTTATTTTTACTTTCCAATGCAAATTCGTATCTCAGAGTTAAAGGTTTATAGATCAGCATCTTTTTAGCCACTTATACCATATGACATCGAATATCCACAGACTTCATTTGTTGCAAAATACTAGATTTATTTTCTTGTGTCTCATGACTATCTAAACAAGATCTTAGATGAATAATTTGAATGTCAAGCGAATTGAAAAATAAAAATCCCGTACACAAAGCTTCAGAGGTTTTTCAAGAACTCAATTAACAATTCAATAGTAGTTCTAGGTTTTTAGGATATTTTTCAACTAGACTCAATCAAATTCATAGATATTATGTTATTATATAAAACAAGAGCAAAGAAGACTTTCATTAATTCTATAACTTCTTATATTATTATACTTGCCTATGAGTGACTTTCATTAATTATATAACTTATATTATTATACTTGCCTAAGGCCAGGCAATATTTTCATTGTTACTAGAATAGAGATCCTTGGATAACATTTAAACATTGGGAATATAACACAGATATTCAAAGTTTTAACCATTCTAAACACTACCGAATAATATACAAACACCTAGATCGAAATTATTTGCAGCTGCAAGTATAGTATCCAAAATGTAATGGTTACTGTTTGCTAATAAAACTGCTTGATCTATGATCTATGAGGCGTTTACTTACCATTAAAGGAACCCAGCAGATGAGGAAAAAGACACACAAAACAACCATTAACCTGGCAAATGAAATCTCTTCCTGTGTGGCATGGTTGAATAAAAGTTCACGACTGATTTTACAGATGGTCGTTCGTCCCATGCGACCCCTGGAAGTTTTGCCTACTTTACTGAGGACAGTGACTACTGTCAGGTTACACAAGACGATGACTACGCACAAGATCATGCCAAAGGTGAACATAAAGTAAGCGTAAGCAACATCCACAGTTTTAGTTGCAAAGCGGTAACGAACACACATGTAACGCCGAGTGGGGGCGTTGATATCGTAGTACAGGCCGAATCCCATGAAAGGTAAACACACCATGATCAGCGAGACAGTCAGTAATGATCCAATGGCTATTTTGATCGTTTTGTGAGTGATATGCTGAAAAGAGCAAAATACAAAAGAAATATTATTTATTAACGATTTTAATTAATCGCTATTCTATTATAAACTGTTTTCATGATCTACTGTCATATCTTGCGTTATTCATCAGATTAATGGAACGAGCGTGACCCAGTGGCTATCGTGTAGGGCTGTGGATTCGAGTGTCTTTGCCACAAAAAAGAAAAAAATAATCACGCTCTGCACTTTATTGCTTTTATGGAATGACGGCTAAATCCCACTATTTTATTAGAGTAGCCAAAGCGTTGGCGGTATGTGCTGTTAACTAATTTTCTTCCCTGTAGTCTATAGGTTTAAAACAAGGGACGGTTAGCTCAACTAGCCCTTGAGTAGCTTTGTGAAAACACATGAAACAAACCAAATCATCATGATAGTAATCCTATAAAAACGTTAATTTATTCATGAAAAGCTATGCCAAAGTCATGTTGTTTAGAAAATGCTAATAAATAATACGTTATCTTTTACGTGTTAAATATCAGTAAAAGGTTATTCGTTGAAGCCGTAGTTTTATTAGCATTAAGTCTCAATAGACTGGAATCTAACATTTACAGTACACCTTTTAAATGCTAGTGGAAGATACTGAAGGTTGTGGAGCCACGGAACAGCGAGTACATTATTTCCCCAACCTTCCCTTTTCCCACTAAGTGTATAGAGAAGAACCGAGAGACAAAAAGGTCGTTACAAATCATATTTTGTTTTACTTATCTGGAAACCACAGTTGATCCTATCCCTATGTATTGTTAAGAAACGGAAATATTTAATCTGAAATATCTGTTTTAAGTAGTCTTGAGAAAAACAAAACTAATGAAAAAATCATCTAAAAGTCAGTAATTTTAGAAAAACAAAAGCATCATCCATTCTAAAAATATAATAAATCGTAGATAAATTATTCTTAGCTAAAAAAAAATCGAATTCTACCAAGCAAATACTTTCTCCTGGGTTTGAATAATACATCAAACCTTAATATAAGGTTACAAACAAAGTTTAATATGTTAGTGGAATCCGTATCGATAATGAGATTGTTCAAACAATATTTTAAATATTTTCAACGACACATGGCTAATACACGTTTGCCAGCAGAGGCTAAAGATTAATATATATTAATATTTTTTACTTTCAACGTTCTATTCTTATCAACGTCAAGTAGAACAAGGAACTGTTTAGAATCAGTTGTTGTTTTTCTTACCACGGCGTAATTTCAAAAAGTGCTAAGAGTGAAACACAAATACGCATTTTATCTTGCTGTTTCTGGACTCTGTCGTTTGTCAACTGACGTCTTTTCACATATTAACCGACTTTGTCGCTTATAAACAGACGTAGACTTTCTGTTTTCTGTGTTTAGTTTATAAAAAAAATAGTATTCTCTTATAATTTCAAAATAACGTTTTCAAATAATTGTATTAGCTAATTTTTCTCGAAATTTAGCTTCCTAATTATATTTTACCTTTTATTCGCTTTTTTTGTTCAATTATTAAAGTTGAATTATTTCAACATACCACTTTTAAACATCCAAAAACTTTATTCTTAGAATACTTGGAAAGGTCCAGTATCTAACAACGTGCTCTACTTTACATCTGCAAAACAAAATTCCATTCCATTACGAAAAAAGTTGACCACTCAACGATGGTAGTGTTATCTATTACACAATATCGTGTAAGGTCACAAAGACTTTTCAAGCATTCCTTGGTAAGTCATACAAGTTACTTATCGAAAGTTACTAACATAAATAAAAGTTCTAAATAACTCCCTTCAACTAATAGTGACCCTAAAAATAAAAATAACGTTTGTTCATTTAGGGAGAAAAACAATATTTCATTTTGAGGTCACATCTGGGCACTCATAATTTGAAGAATGGAAAGAAGATGGAGATTTGATTTATAGGTGAAAAGTTCTGGTTGAAACATAAAGATGAATAAATAAAGAACATAAAATAAATGATAGTAACATATGTTTTTTTTTGGAAAAGAGAACATTCATCTGACAGGAATTCAATTCCTTTAGGCATAATATGTTTTATAGTGAATATATGAAAATTGAATCGCTGAACATTATCATATACCAACTGCACTATTCTTCTCAATTAACCTCGTTTGAAATCTATTGATCAACATACTTTCTTTTATGCACTATTCCTTTTCATTATTCACTCACTTGGAATTATCCGTTATTTATAACTTCATTATATTCGTTTAGGATATGATTATCACTAGTGAAGAATGGCGTTGATTTCAAATCTGCTACTTAGTATCTAATATGACTTAAAAAACTTTTAAAACAATTGTACTTATAGCCAACATATTGTACATTCAGGTTTAAAGATAGACTTTACTTTAACTAATAGTTAAACTCGAAGGAACAACTTATGAATTTGATTTATAATTAAGCTCCCCAGTGGTACATCGGTATGTCTGCGGACTTGCAACACTAGAAACTGGATTTCGATACCCGTGGTGGGCAGAGCACACATACCCCATGGTGTAGTTTTGTGCTTAATTTCAAACAAACAACCAAATTTGTAATTAAAATAACTTATTTACGTGTAGATGAAAAAACTGTAGAAATGTTTAGTAACTCTACAGTTTGTCTATTGAAGGATTTTTATACTATTTAAATAGTAATAAATAATATTGTTTATAATATCTATTAAAAACTTTTTTAGTTAAGAACTTTTTGATACTTTCAAGATCCTTATGCCCAAAATCATACGTACTGATTATTGTGTGTTCTCGATGAATTAATATTTTCACCAGTTCTTTTTCAAAAAACAAATTAGGATGCTAATATCACAATTAAACTTACAGTTGTAAATTTTTGTATTTATGAAAGGGCTCAAATTTAAGTTTATTGTTTATTTATTACGAATAATTGTGTGAAGAAATGGAAGTTGAAGTCCAACTGTTAACCTGATATTAGCATATTTATTGTTGGAGTAATCGAAAATTCTCCAAATGGCCAAAATCTTTAAAAATAAAGTGTCATCCACATGCCATCAATAATATATTGGTTTCAACAGGTTTATAAAAGCACATTGATACTGGATAGACGGACAAGGTGTTATTATTTTTGTTTCTAGATAATATATCTTAAGAGCGATCAGATAATAGTGAGAGAAGATTTATGTCCACTGTAGTTAAAAGTATTAGATTAAGTGAGTAGCTGATGAAGATGCTACGGTTATATACAGATATAATTATTCTAAGTAATTATTGTTGGCTTATACGGTGAATATTTGATAGAGAGGAGGGTTATGTTATATTATATTTATTTTGGAACCTCAACACGTCATAGCAGTCCATATCATTACTTGTGGTTATGCACTATCTGAAAGCCAGGCATCTTGGCAATAGTCCTGCATCGTAGTTTTCATTGCTCCTTCGCAAGGGTGTCATGTTGTCATGTTTCAAGCACACTCCAGCTTCATGTGGCTTTCCATAAGCGAGTGTTTCAAAGTATCAATTTCAATAATCCGAGTTCACAGAAATTCAGAGGCGACATGGAATAATACGAATACTCGTTTCATTTTACAGCTGCTTGAGGTTTGCGATAGTTGAATGGATATGTCGTGGACGTAACTTGTGTACAAGTAAGTTGTATTGCTTTTTCAGAGAGAGATTTTTTCATGATTATGTTGAGTTCTATTGCCTAGGACACGTGGACAGCTTTTGCTACTTATATTTATGCTTGTGGAGTTTCAGCCGTTACGAACACCACACTTTGTTTACCATCGCTGGGGTATGACTTGATGCAAGTCTTTTTCTGGATGATCCTGGTATCACAAATTGATCCATATTTAGTTGCTTTCCAGTGTCATTAAACACAAAGGATATCTCAGCAGATAAGCTTTGTAGCTTTACGCCACAATTTTTAAACAGACAAATCAGAGTTATATTATCAAAAAAGGCGCGTTCGAACCGTAAAAAGAAATTCCCTTAACGTTTTTATTTTGGTGGGACAGCGGTAAATTTACGGGCATACAACGCAAAAATCCGTGGTTCAGTTCCCGCGGTGGACACAACAGATAGACTATTGTGGTTTTGCTCTAAAACAAACCCTTACGTTAAACCTTTATTATCAGTTTTACAAATTCTTTAAGAAGCAAAAATAAGGTTAATTATTTATTTTGGTTCCAGTGTGTTAATATTGATATACGTTGTCAACGTAAAAAAAACTAAAATCTTTAATCATCTCTCAATACTTAACAATCTTAGGAAATAAATATTAACTCAAAATTAGCATGTTGATTTAAACCTTACGAGCACCTCTCACTTGATCTAATTTTGATATTCACATCATGCAGTTCTTTATGATCTGTCTAAGGCTTTTTTTTATCTATTTTACTTGGTTATTGTTTGATAACAAAAGTATTTTCCGCAGGAATCACTAGATCTGCAAAGATTATATTAGAAATGTGCAATAATCGCGAAAGTTAGTTTTTTTTTACCGATCTTTGTCTTGCGCTAGATAGTGTTACTTAGCTCAGTATAGATAATTACACTTGTCAAATTTAATATGAGAGAGCTGAAAAACGATAACATATTATAAAGGACAATTAGATGCCATAAATGGCGAGAAAGGAATTTAGTATAGATCATACCTGATGAATGGGAAGAAGATTGATGTAGATATCACAGCTAAAGACGAAAGTAGGTTTGATATACACTATAACTAGTGAGTGGAGAAAATTGTAGAAACTTAGTTAATGGAGGGAGAAGCTGATACACAGATGTTTAAAGCTGAGAAGATATTAAAGTTAATGACTGAGGTTAGAAAAACACGTAGGTTCAAGTAGAGAAAATTGTAGAAACTTAGTTAATGGAGGGAGAAGCTGATACACAGATGTTTAAAGCTGAGAAGATATTGAAGTTAATGACTGAGGTTAGAAAAACACGTAGGTTCAAGAAGTCTTGATAGAAATGAATAAACACCCTATAATCCGAGCGTTTTTGAAAGGTGGACATTTCTTCTGAAGTTTGCCCCTG